CTCTTACACTTTTCTTTTACAGGAATCAAGACATGCCCCCTCCCCCCTCTTTAGGCCTTTTCCGGGCGTAAGATTATATATGTATTTGAACAACCCTTTTAGGGGTTTTCTGGATGAATCGATCCATGTGTAGATCTACCCTCCTGGCCTAAGATTTTAAGTCTTTCACACATTTTTATACAAGATCTATCTACCTGGTGCTACGGAACTAAGCAAGCTAAGTAATCAGACCATCGTGTTTACGATTGAGTTTACTCTATAGATATCTAGTCTAGATTTAGCTAGATATAGATTAGAAGAAGTAGAAGATGATTCTGTCCAAACAGGACTATTGGGGAGGTCAGGTCGGGACAGGTCGGTTTGCTCGACAGACTGATTGCGCAAAATGGCTATCGTGGCACAAATCGATCGCGCCCGACTCGTTGCCTCTAAAACAAACGCGTTGTTTTCAGGCAACGAGTCGGGCGATCATCCCGGCCCGACCTCATCCACACTGGGCACTCCGTAGTGCGTAGATCTAATTTTAGGTACGAATTGTCCCCTTTCGCGTCGTTATTTTTAGTTGTGGAGGAAAATTTTGGTTATTTTTACCGAAATTAAATGATTATTTTTCCAACTTTTGTAGAAAATTGCCTAAAATTCACGAATTCACGAAAATGGCAAAAGTTGCCTACGCAACTTGCGAGTGCAAATTTCTCTGAGGACAGCTTGTTGTACTGCCAGGTTTTGCCAGTGTACTAAAGTGAACGCCAATACGCAGGCAGTATTGCAAACAGAGGTAAGTCATTTTTGGCAACCTTTGAGATACATATGTATGCAATACTGCCCGTGGATAGAAACATAGTATTTCCACTGTTACATTTACACCGCCACCCGCCAACTGTCTGGGTTGTATTTGTATGGTCTTTTTCAAACTAATGTAAAAATATGCCCCGACAAACTGCCAGCGAATTGGCGGCCAAAGGTACGCATTACATGATACAGCGCGCAGCCTTTCTTACACACTTGTCAATGTCCAACCACTGACGAGGGTTAATTAGTAGGCCCTATTTACAAAGCAACATAGTGTAACTGGCGGCTGTGTTGTAGTGGTAATGGTAAGGCAGTTGGCTGTTGCATGCAGGAGGATTCCCAAGTGGGGAGACAATTTTAAATAAAAATTTTATATTAATAATAATAAATGACATTTATTTATAGCGCTCCACCCCGAATGAAGTACACAGGCTCTGAGCGCTTTACAATACAGTACAACATACAACAGTAACATAAAACGTTGTGTTCTGACTAAAGAAAATTATTCCAAATATTCATCTTATTAATTTAAAAACAGAAACGACTTCAGCTGACATTTGAATGAATCAAAAGATTTGATTTCTCTCAAAGTACTTGGTAAAGCATTCCAGATCTTGGGGCCTTGGTATTCAAATGCCCTTTCAACTTTCACCCATTGTTTTAAGTTTCATAGATGGTAAAATAAATTTCTTTTTGTCAGATGATGACCTTAAACTGCGAGTTGGAATGTACAGTCTTAACAGATTTGATAAATATGATGGTGCATTATCATTCAAACATTTGTGATATAGGGTGGCCAACTTGTACACAATCCTTTTCTCAACAGGAAAATCTCGGAGTATCTCAGTCCTTCTGCTGGTATGCTGTATCCCTCCCTTTCAGATAGGGTTGTCCCTGGCAGGCAGGGTCAAAAGTGTGCCTCCTGAATGAACTTAATAGTGTCAGTGAGGTGTAAAACACCGGCAATTATTACAATAAATCAATAACACAGTGCAGGGAGCTTCACATCCACCAGTGTAGGACCCAGTGAAACCATTTGCAGCTGTGTACAGTCAAACCTCATTATACTATACCGCTACCCTTGGAACAAGCATGAAGTTGGCACAACTGCAAGCAAGGCTGGTGGTTTATAAACTGGGTTCCTCTGTATAGCCCCGACTGCCCAACGTTAAAGAACATGATTCTACTGTACAATCTGTGTTTGAAAATTGTCTTTTTGCTAGTGATACAGTGGAACCCAGATTGAACGAAAACTTGTATTTGTGGGTGGTTGGTGGGTGCTCTGATGTGGTTTGCTCCTTCTTTTCTACTGTCAAACATCTATCTTCATTTGATTTTCTCCTCTCCTATTTTGTGTTTGTTATTCTCTTGTAATACCTCTAGCTCTAATCTTCGGCACTTGCATTATTGTGTTGCAAGTGCCGTAAAACTCTTACTAAAACTAAACTAATGTATTCAACTAAAGTACTAAAGGAGGTGGATTCCCCGTTTTTTTCTTTTCATTGAAATCGACAAAAATATCTCGGATTCAATGAACACATAAATGAGCTAGCTCGGATTCAATGAAATCGCTTGCAGGGTGAATAGTCCTCCCTGACATGGCGTAGCTACTTTTTCTCCCGCAACAAACCTTGTATTATTATATATTCCTTGAAACCATCCATGGCACCTACATAGTGAACCATTATTCGCTTAGCCTATTGTTTATATCTTATGCGACCGAAAAGCAGCCTTTTTACATTTACATACCAGCACATGCGCTGTTGGCAAGCGCACGTGTCTTCTTAGTGAGTGTGTGTCTGGGTCAGGCGGGCGAGCAGCTCTCTTGTGAGTGTGACTGTGTGTGCTTGCGTCTTTGGGAAGAGGAGGGGCACAAGCAGTCCAGGCGTGGAATGTCGGCCTTGTGCCCTTTGGTTTAGCGAGGCGGATACTGCCCACTGCCCGATGGACGAAGAAATCTGCCCCTCTTTTCTATCTAGTGGATGGTCATCGTCCATAATAAAGAAAAAAAGGAATGTTGGCAGAGATACAAATGCGTCAGTAAATGTACTGTATTTGAATGATGATAAACTAGCTTTGACATATATCTCTACGTAATGAATTGTGCACTTGCAACACAACTTGTTTGGCAAACAATACCTCATAGGCCTAGATGACACAAGTGTGCATTTGAACGAATCGGCCTTTTGGCACAATGTGTGCTTGGTAATGTTCGGTGTACTTTCATGTAATTTTCCAGCATTTATTTGGTATGGCATCAAATAAGTGAAAATGAATGCCTCTTAATTAAATCAAACTACTTTTGACTGAGAAAGTCGAAACGGGGCAAAAAAGCAGGCATTTTAAGGTAGCCAACTACTTGTTACTTCCCTTTAAATTTTATACGTATAACTTGCTCGATGCCTGTAGTGATCTTTACAAAAAAAACCCCATATAATTTGTTTGTTTTAGTAGAGGTTTTACGGCGCTCACAACTGTATAAGGTCATATGAATATGAGCGCATTTTTGTTACAACGAACACTCAGATTTAGCAAAATTGAAGTCAGGCTTGATGACTTCGTTTAATCTGAGTTCCGCTGTATAAAATAAAAGGGACCGTTCACATATAATGTCAGCTCAGACTCAGAGGGGAGGGGGG